GCTGCGTCCGACATGTGAAAGCATCCCGGTAGCAGCGATAATATCCAGCATCCACACCGACTGCCCTAACGATTATTTTATTCTTGGCACACATTTATAAGGATGCGTACCCAAACAAATTTCGCACGTTGTACCGGATTTGTGAATACAGAGTTATTAAAAGTTGCAAAACTGGAAAAAATCCACCGCACCTTTATCTTTGCCTGTTCAGTTGAATAATGGAACATTTCTATTGCACTCATCAAGCGGCCATCACTTCCCGGCCGTTAGTTCTTCATGAAGGATATAAGGATAATGGTCCGTGAACGCATAACCAGCCTTGACATGCTCTATTCTTCTATGGTACTCCAAATTAGATGCAATTACAGAATCCTCCACCCTCTACCGGCCGCCTGTTCCTTAATCCCGTCATTCTTTTTCACGAAGCAAAATATATGATTATTTCGATATGAACTTTCTTAGCAAAAAGATAGACAAAATGTTTAAGACGGATTGATACTAAGATCATTTCATAGCTGTGTTCACTTTTTTTACTAACTGCCGCGCTTTCAAGTAATTTGCTAAAACTGCTTTGCCATTCAAAGAAGCAATGACTACTTATGGCTTTTTTTCGCAGTTATGAAAATACAATAATAGCTTCGCTCTTAGCTTCGTCTTTATAACATAGTTGTTTCGAGTTAACAGTGTGTAAATGTTATAGAACTCGCAAAATTACAGATGTCTTTTTCTGGCTAATACCGGAGTTGGAAAGGTACTAGCTACTCAATTTGACGTGTTCGTATGTGTGCCGTAATGTGAATGTGATAGCAGAATTTGAAATTTTTGGACTGCACATGGGGAGAATGTCCTCGCTAAGTTTCATTTTCATCTGTTGACTGATTCTCGAAGTTGTTTCTCACCAAAACTCTCCACGTTTTCTTTCAGGCTGCTTAAGCGAAACCTGGGCGTCCACAAAAGTTGATTTTAAAGCGAAAGATCCGCACACTGGGTGGGGACTTGCTCCAAAAGTTTTAGCTTCCTTACTTCTGTGACTGCGGAGTTGAAAGTAGCAAACACACACACAAACAAGCACAAACAACCTCTTGACAATATGTACTTTTGCATTTGCAAAAAACATGCAAAAACGCATAAAATAGAATTATGCATGATCAGTTCAGCTTGCGTGTGGTTTCCAATCCTCGTTGCAGGACTGCCTGTGCGGCAGTGTACCATCACCTCCACCACGGCTTTTACAGTTCCTAAAAGACACTGGGAAACTTGCCGTACTGGGGGTCTGGTAGTATCGACACTGACGCAGAATTCGGGATTAGGGAATGATTGCTCGGT